AACTGACAGCTATTAAATTCTCACAAGTTAAAGTAACCTAATTAATAAGCCATTTGAATTATTACAAAAACGCATATAGAGTGTTATTAATATTTATATACATATGAATATGTATGTAGAGCGTTATTAATATTTATATACATGTAACAACATATATAGAGAATTATTAATATTTTTTTGTACATATTTAATTATATATAGATATACAAATTTTTTTGGATATCCATGCAAAGATTTATAACGCAAAAATGCAGATCTAACTGAACCCATGGATATATATATCAAAAAATTTAGATAAATAAATTATCAGAATGGTGCTAAAGTGAATAATATACACGACGAACCAATTAAATCGGAATGAAGGGGAATTGAACAATGGTGCTAAAGAGAGACGATGAGACTTATAAGAATGATGAACAAAAGTGGTAAGTGGATACCCAAAAATCAATAAATAATAATGAAAACAATAATATATGTGCCACATTACTTTTTAGAGTAAAATTCACACGTTATAATGCCAACGTCGATAATCAACAGAAGCGATAAAGAATAAAATATTCTCTCTTATAAAAAAAACCTTTACAATAATTACCATCATTTTTTTTTTACCATCATACCATCATTAATTTCAAAAGACATGTAAATGACTAAAATTACCAAACAAATAGTATTTGTAGTAGCATTTTTTTCTTTCTTTTAACATAATCATTAACTAAATTCTTAAAATCAAAGTTTATAACTAATAATCTAATATAATCATACTTCATGAATGAATGGCTAAGTCATTCAATATGTCATGTGGTATTATCAAGTTGATATACGATAATCAATTTAACAATCTTATTTCATAGATGAAATGACTAAATCTTTTAATATTTCTATATTATATTGTTTACATAGTTATTTATAAAACCATAATTTTTATTGTGTAAACCATAAATATCAAAAAGGTTTCAACGTTTAAGCATATGTTTCTTGTTTCTATAGCCATATTATTTTATTTGAGTTCATATAAATAAAAATGAAAAATATGCCCTTAAAAGTTTCCAAAAATTTATATGCTCTAAGCCAATGTTTTATTTTTTTTACACTGTGGCACGGCTATATGTATCTCGAAAACAACAACATAATTAAGTGTTTGCTTCATGTTTTGCGTTGGATCATTTTTATATAAGCAAATGTGTGAGGCAAAAGTGGAAAGGATTGTGGACTAATATTTTCATCGTTATGGACCCTGTGACACATTACTACAAAACTAATTTTGCGGAGATCCATGGTCTCTACCCCAATTATTTCTTGATTCTTCATGTTCAATTTTTTTTATTTTGTTAATGAAATGTATATGAGTATATAGTATAATATATCAATTCGACTTAAAATTAGTTTATAAAGATTTATGTAATTTCAAATCTAAATTTTTCACCAGTGGAATCTTAGTTTGGCTTATACTGTATCTAAATAAAAGATTCTCTTAAAAAAAACTAACTAAAGTTGGATAAATTGTTTATTCTAGGGCTGGCAAAAAAACCGGATTCGGAAACGACCCAAAAAACCGGGTTGGGTAAGAATGTCGGATATTAGGTATGATCAATTACTCTATTTGATCATTATGTAGTCCTATTTGTGGGTATCAAGTAATACTTGGAACGAATCTGATACTCGAACATGATCCGAATATCCGAACATATAATTAAATATTTAGAATATTAATTATATTTAATTTTTAATATTATCCAAATATATCAATTAGTTTTATACCTAAATACCGAAAATAACCGAAATATCAAAATATTATTTGTTATATTTTTCAAAATTTAGCCAAATTTATTCGAATTTAACCAAATATATTTAAATTTAACCAATTTTTGAAGGTTTTTTTTGGTATCCGCTATTTGGGTATTTCTCGGATTCTGAAAAACTGAACCCGATTTTTTATAATTATCCTATTATGTCTTAAAAGCAATTACCCGTTTTTCCAAAGATCGGGTCCTACCAGAACCCGGACCCATACCCATTTGCCCAGCCCTAGTTTACTCTTATATCTTGTTCTTTTAAAAATTTAAGATACAAAATTTATCCTTTCACAAAAAAGATACAAAATTTATTAATCACAATTCATTTTTGAAAAGATTGTTAGTTATTCAACAATTTCGAGGTCATAGCTTGAAGTCCAACATTAGTCTTTAGAATCTTGATGTACAGATTTTAAATTTCAGGGTTAGCAAGTTGATTTTTCAGTTTGATCAACCAGATGCTAATTTCGATTGAAATGAATTCGCTCATTCTCGACTACAAAATAGACAGAATTCAAATATACAAGAATAATACACTTTTTTTTGTGTGTGCAAACATCTGTCGTTTTTCCTAATGCATGGTTGAATTCAAATAAACAAAACATCTGTCGTTTTTCCTAGTTGTGTGAAAATCAGTATTTATTACAATTTTGTTTTGTTTCTCTAAGAATTTGTCGTTACGAAACTGGTTATGTTTTTTAGAGTACAGATCCACAATGATCACATGCATGCATGGACAAAGTTCTCGCCTTAAGCTGTTCGAGATCGAAAGACTGATGTCACACATGACACGCTACTAAATAACGATGTTATATACAAGTGTACGTTCTTTCCAAGATTCGAAAATTTTCAAAATATTTTCGATCATAACATGTTTTAATATCGAGAAAACCATGTTTATGTATTTTTTTTTTCATGTTTATGTATTGACTTAATGTTAAGAAAAGAGTCGAAACGCAAAAATTGAAATTGGATCATTCTGATTCAGATTTTTGTAAGTTACAAACAATTATGCGCGCAAGTCTATATAAATATATCGGTAATATAATTGAAATACTTCCTATGTTTTAATATAAGTGTCATTTTTTATAATAATTTTCACAGAAATAACAAATTAAACTAAAAATTACCAAAAAAAATCTTTTACACAATAAAGAAACAGTTAATTCTTAACAATACATGCAACATTTTCCTACACGAAATCATTTTTTCCATTTTGTAAACCAATAGTAGTTCATTTTTTTTTCAAGTTTACAAAATATTAACATAAATTCATATGAATCTATAAAATCATTTTTGTGGAATATATAAATAAATAAAAAACATAAAATTTTAATTTTAAAGAACGTATGGATGTATGATTTAATGTCTCAAATTAATATATCGTTACAGTTTAATCTTAATATATGCATGCTCATTCAACAAAAGCATATATAATTTTCGTATACATATCTTGTAAGTTGTGCTTATTTATCGTTCCGTTACAATATAGTGCATTTTGAAATTTTACTGCTGATTAAAAAATATATTAAAATTGTTTAGAAGTTTTGGTTAGACTCAAATTGAAATCGGTTTAGAGATTTGAATTGGTTTGATTCAATTTAACAAAAATTGATGGGTTAAATGGGTAAACCATTGAAACCACTGACTCATTATAACCCAACTCATTTGATCCATCAACTCATTTGACTCAATAACTCATTTGATCCATCAACTCATTTGAGTCAAAATTTCAACTCATTAGGGTTCATGGGTTGAGTTGAGTTTTGGTTGACCCATGAATCTTGACCCATTTTGACACCCCTAAGTACACCTAAAAATAAAATTTAAACACTTTTTTATTTGAGAAAAAACATAATTTTTTGTTTAATACTTTTATTAATTTTAGTTTAGGATAAATTAGATATCTTCTAGCTAAAATTTATAATAATAAAAGAATAAAATAATATTTATCATGAGAATAGTGTATGACGACATTTATTATAAAACAAGAAAAATTGTAAATTTAAAATCCTCATATGGAAATAAATTTCATAAAAATAGGGATTATTGTTGATTTTGCCATTTTTCATAAAAATCTTTTGAAATTGCCATTTTTACTAAAATCTTACGGATATGCCATTTTCTAACACTTAAAAATGTACGTATTTCAGATTTTTTTGGTAAAAATACGTAGTTTATACAAAATACTAAACCCTAAGAACAACCACAACCGACTAAACCCAAACATAACGAATAAAACGCATGTTAAATCATATTTCCGTAGCCTGAAAAAGGGCAAAATCCATAAACTATTCAAAAAAGGGCAAAATCCATAAATGCCATCCCAAAAAATGGCAAATCCATAATTGATTCTTTTTTAAATGCAGTTATATCTTTTTTTTAAATGATGGAGTTTCTGTGTGCTTTCCTTTTTTGAGTTTCTATGTGCTTATATATACACTTTTTTAATATGGACTATATATTATGAATATTAGTTTTCTCTCTAAACAGCTGTACCCATTTTTGTCCAATGACATATCTACAGTTTTATGAAAAGTCCCAACCGTTCTTCATCACTTCTTCTGCTACGAATACAAAGTCGTCCCAATTTATAACAAATTAAGAAAACAAAAAGTAATAAAACCCAGACATAAAATAAATTGTTTCCAGTAAAACTTGGACCAAAAAATATTGCATTTAGATTCTAACTTTATTATCCGGATAATATTATTTATTGAGCTCTATAGTGTCTGTCTCAAACACTCAAACCCTCAAAATTTATGAATGTAAATGCTATTGCAAATCATGTCTCAGTATGATTACTTTCTGACCTTTAAAATAATCAATACTTTCTACTATATAAAAAGAAAATCTATAATGTTACAGTATCACTATCACATCTACTAATATCTGTTACGCATTTATTTCAATTTCTTGAGTGACCTTTACGATAGATTCCTACTCATTTTGACAATTTTTCTTTGTTCCAACTCTTAAATTAACATTCACCTCTACTTTTTCATTTTTCGTCGGTTCTTTCAAAAATTTAAACCCTTAAAAAGAATTAAATTAAAATAAGTATAGTGAAGACCAATAAGCAGTTGCATGGACCCTGATTGATTCATTACCGCTAAAACTTTGTCTGAATCCTTCTTCCTATTTATACCACTCTCTTCTTCTTCTCCATTTTCATTACACCGAACTTCTCACATCTCCACATTCTGTCTTTTGACGAAAACACCCTTTTGCTTTCTCTCTTTCCTTTGCATGTTGTGATTGTTTTGCTTCACAACATGGGCGTTTTCGTAATCTCGGTTCTTGTGGTGCATCTCCTAGTTTTTTCCGTCTGCGTTCAAGGCGTTTACCGTCGTGGTGGCCACCATCCCGGCGGCCACATGGGACCTTGGATCAACGCTCATGCCACATTTTACGGCGGCGGTGATGCTTCCGGCACTATGGGTACGCTTAGCCATAACTTCAAATAATAATCCTTCTTCATTTTCACTTAATTCAACTGAGAAAAGGGTAGTTTAGTCATTTCATCCTAGCTTCATCTCATGCTTTCAGAACTAGACCCCTCGTAACATGCAAACAATTTCAACGGCTAATCATAAATATATTTATTAATGTCTCAATTGTTTCAAATGTCAATTGTTATGATAAAAAAATATATATAAAAAAAGTAACAGATTTTTTGTGATAGAAAACATTTTTTATTTTTTTTTCATACAAAAATCTAAATGCAGACGAAAACTCTACTTCTGTTTAAAACATAAAACAAGAAAAATAAATACAATCCCAAACAAATAATCTGAGACCTAAGTTTTTTGTTAATGAACTACATTAGGTGGAGCATGCGGGTACGGGAATCTGTACAGTACAGGTTACGGACTGGAGACGGCGGCATTGAGCACAGCTTTATTCGACCAAGGACTTAGTTGTGGCGCATGTTTTGAGTTGATGTGTGTCAACGATCCTCAATGGTGCATAAAAGGCCGATCCATTGTGGTCACTGCCACTAACTTTTGTCCTCCTGGTGGTGCATGTGACCCTCCCAACCACCATTTCGATCTTTCTCAGCCTATCTACGAGAAAATTGCTCTGTACAAATCCGGTATCATTCCGGTTATGTACAGAAGGTACAAAATTTATTAACCCTGATTAGACCTTCACAATGGTGTTATTTGATGGCATGCACAGAACTGAACTATAGTGTATAGTTTACGAATATCTCACATTGAATTTTTTATCAAAAAAAAATATATATATATATATTCAGAGATAGAAGTCGTATCTTTGATTTTTCAAACACTTTGAAGTAGATAGATCTTCTTTTTTTGACTTGGAGATACAGTATATAGTGAAATTTTCTACTCGAATATTTCAATGAAACTAGTCATAAAAGCAATAGGTAAGATAGACGACTAAGTTAAAGTAATAAAGTTGTACTTATTTAGAAACAGATGGACTTCTATATGTATGACTTTTGTCTTAACTTTTAACTGGTTATCTCTTTTGTCTGTTTTTTTAGTATACAAAATAATTTCTTATTTATTCTTTTTTTTGGTTCAAAAATTTACTGTTTATTCTATCTTCTATTTTTGAACAAAATATTTTGTAGTATTTTTATAGACTAACAAAGTAAGATTTCTTCTTACCTTCCTTAGTTATTGTTTCTGACTTTTCATAGAACATATGTGTCGAAAACACACAAAAGCCGCGTATAGTGAAACATTTATAATCAGCTTTTGGTCCTATAAATACGCATTTAATACTTTTGGACCAGTTGATACATGTGGTAGAAATAAGGTATTAAATTATTAATAGACCCAAAACTGAATAATAGTGACACACCAAACTTCATAGTAGTACATATTTAAGCTTTCATAATATATAGTTTTAATATAAATGATTTGTGTTATAGGGTTCGGTGCAAGAGAAGTGGCGGGATAAGGTTCACGATCAATGGCCACTCATACTTTAACTTAGTGTTGGTCACAAACGTGGGTGGAGCCGGGGACGTACACTCGGTGTCAATGAAAGGGTCGAGGACAAAATGGCAATTAATGTCAAGAAATTGGGGGCAAAATTGGCAAAGCAACTCTTATCTCAATGGTCAAAGTCTGTCGTTTGTTGTTACCACAAGTGATCGTCGAAGTGTCGTCTCGTTTAATGTTGCACCTCCCACTTGGTCCTTTGGCCAGACCTACACCGGAGGACAGTTTCGGTATTAATTATATATAATCGGTTTTCGGTTTGGTTTTGTTCGGTTTTGTTCGGTTTTGTTATTGTGTTTTTTTTTTCCGGTTCCAAGTTGGGGACTCTTTTTTGTTAACCAATTGAGATTGGGACTGATAGTGATAAGTAGCGAATATGTGTGGGAACGAGAAAGAGAAAAGTATAATTCTCCTTTTTATATATAATATAAGAAAATGAAAGTGATGTTATGTATTTGTTTTAATTAATTTGATGTGAAAATTTTCATGTTATGGAAACATGGATTTTGTTTATCTGGCAACTAATTCTTCTTCTTATTCAAAAAAAGAAAAATACCATTTTATAAGAAGCAAAGTATAAAAATTAAACTAAATATAATAAACCTCCAATTAAAATATCAAATGATCAGCCAAAAATTTGGTTAAAGAGATCATCTGTTAAGTTCTATGGGCTTCCAACTCAAAACCAATTGGCAATGAGTGGAGTGGCCCATATCCCTTTATATATTACTTAGGATCCCTTCCAACTTCCGATGTGGGACATTATGTCCTAATACGCCCCCTCGAGATGATGGCTCTTTGGCCATTAATCTCGGAATATTCGGGCTTAGATCGACGGCATCAATTTTGGGCCTTGTCGATGATTGGACCATCTTTGGGTCGGATCGGGTTGGACATGTGTGGATCGGGCTCTGCTACCATGTTAAGTTCTATGGGCTTCCAACTCAAAACCAATTGGCAATGAGTGGAGTGGCCCATATCCCTTTATATATTACTTAGGATCCCTTCCAACTTCCGATGTGGGACATTATGTCCTAATATCATCACCAGTTAGACATATTATCTTTTTAAAATGTTGTAAAATGACCTTGAAAATTCGTACTTATTCTTCTTAAATGGTACCAATTAGATCTATCTCTTTCAAATTATGGGATGCTAGAATACTAAGCAGTAAGCACGATAACAAAAAAAATATATATTGTAATAATGGGGTTGGTCCAGAGAAAATTGACCTATTTTCTCGATTAAACCGCTGACTAAAAGAAAAAAAAAAGATATGTTTGGCAGAGCCAGCTTGGCTCGACCCAGCTTGACTAAAAAATTTAATTGGTATGTTTAATGGATCCAGCCGGATTCAAATTGGTAGTCTTATAGTATAAGCCATCCTTGACTTTGAGAGGATTGGACTGGATCAAGTTTGCTCCCCAAATCAGCTCCATATTATTAGGGCCTTTAAATTAATTTTTTTTTTAATTTTTCATTTTTTGTAATAACTAAAACATAAAACTTCTTTTTCTAGACTTTTAAATAAAAAACTTTTAACTTTCATTTTTTGTATAATTAAAAAAATAAATTCAAAGTTTATGTGTTTGAGAATTCATTTTTGGCCTCCATTTTTACATGATTAATTTTGGTTTTTTTCTTCTATATAGAACAATTTTTTTAATCGGACACCTTTGATTATTGGATTTTGGATTGGGCTTTGGACTGTCGCACCGTCCGCCTCCCCTCTATGCCATCAACCGGCCCTGCCTATCTAAGCCCATTAAGCCGAAAATCCTTGAACAACATTATGCTTTCTTCATGTTGAATATGTTGCTTATGCTACTATATGCTTAAAGTCTTTTAATCTTTTGCTTTTTCTTAAATAATGCTTAGGACTTAGTCTTACATTGGAATATTTATTCATCTTATAAAAGAAATTTCATCCAATAATGGGTTTACATATTTTTGTTCTTATATACCTACATTTATACATATACAAGGAAATGGTATATTTTAGAAAGCGTGGGGAGAAGAATATAAAGGTGACAAAATATTCAAACTAAGTTAAAGAAAAAAAATGATGTCAGAGAACTGAAACTGTTTCTTAACAGAGCAACCATGAAAGATGTATGCGTGGGGTTTCTTTCTATTTTGAGTTATACTCTCTCTCCTTAAACCTGTTCTTCTCTTTCCTCAGGTTTCTATTTTTGGTAATGAAAAAGATTACTTACGATAACATAGCCATCACAGAATCCAAACATCACATGCCTCTCTTCTATATGTCTTGTGTGTATATATGAGACATTGGTTATAGAAGAGACTAACATGAAGATGGATTTTTCATGTTTCCAAGAATACCCTTTTGAGTTCCATTGCAGAGGAACATTTAATGGGTTTGGAGAAAACAATGTAGTGTCTGAAGAGTTCTGTAATAAAAGAAGGATGCAAAAGAAGAGTGATGACTTGGAGAAGAAGAATAAGAAGAAGAAACAGAGTGGTTCTAGGGTTTGTAGTAGAGGACATTGGAGGATTTCTGAAGATTCTCAGCTTATGGAGCTTGTTTCGGTTTACGGTCCTCAAAACTGGAACCACATTGCAGAGAATATGCAAGGAAGAACAGGTAAACACATAAGTCTTCACAAAAGTTTGAATCTTTTCCTCTGCTAATTCCGGAACATGAAACTTACAATGTGTTTTGTTTTAAAGGCAAGAGTTGCAGATTGAGGTGGTTTAACCAGTTAGATCCGAGGATTAACAAGAGAGCTTTCAGTGATGAAGAAGAAGAGAGACTACTTGCAGCTCATAGAGCTTTTGGTAACAAATGGGCTATGATTGCTAAGCTTTTCAATGGAAGAACAGATAATGCTTTAAAGAATCACTGGCATGTCCTCATGGCAAGAAAGATGAGACAGCAATCAACTTCTTACGTCCAAAGATTCAATGGGTCTGCTCATAAACCAAACACAGATCAGAAAATCTTCAATCTTTCTCCTGGTTTGTCTCTTCTTACTCAATCTAGTTCTTGATACATATACATTGAGTTTACTCTGTTATTGGAGTCAAGTCATTATGCTAAATCTCTTGTAATGCGATACTTTCGATATTTATCACTCAGATTGCAAGTTCTAGGGAGATTCTATTGATGTCTTTAAGTTTCATATGGTTCTGTGTGTTCTTGCAGGTAATGTAGATGATGATGAAGATATGGATCTGAAAAAGTGCAGCTGGAAAATGCTAAAAGAGGGAACTACTAACCTGAAAGCTCAGTATCTCCAAGAAGAATATTGTTCTTCGCGCATGCCGATGCAGGGTCCACATCATCCCTACTCAACCTTCCCTGCAGATTCCTTGGCACTGACACTGCATGTCTCCATCCAGGAACCATCATCATCATCATCATCATCTTCGTCATTATCACTGCCATCATCATCAATAGCACAACATACAATGGTGACCAGATATTTTGAGACCATTAAACCTCCAGCATTTATAGATTTTCTAGGAGTTGGTCACTAAAGCTCCAACATGTAGAGTGGGAACTAATCAAGAAATTGATTACTCCTGTCATTATTATCAAAGTCACTGTCTTTTGTTAGCCATTAACATGACAAGCTAAGAAATCAAGTATCTTCTCTTTTTTCTTTCTTCATGTGCTATTATTAATCGAATCAAAATTTCAAAACAGTATTACAAAATCAAACACCAGCACAAATTTATCTTAAGAATTCTGAGTTAGGCCATCAATGGAGGAGACAAAAGTAGTGGCTCTAACCCGAGGTAAAGAATCAAGCACAACGAAAACTATAGTAGTTTTGAATTCTATATGAGTAAAACTTAACTAAGCATGAGAAATACTCTCATGCGTTTTGAATGGTACCAGCCATTGCTTCTTCGAGTTCTTCCATTGTAAGAAGCCTCGTGGTCTTCAAATATCCGCCTTTTGCATAGGAATCGATATCCTCAAGGTTCACTTGCTTCAATGTGAATTGGTTTCCCACAGCCTTCACTGTCTTCTCAACAAAATCCAATCTTTCAATGTAATTCTTCATTCTACACACGAATTCCGTGTGATCTCTTTCCTGCAATGTACCGCAGTTTTTTGGATCAAGTAATCAATTGGGAGACGAATCAAGTAATTAATTCGAAGATGAAACAAAGGATCATACCAACCGATACTGTGGCACTCTCGAAGGCAGTTTAAGGTAAGCCATGTTCCTCACATCGTAATCCCATAAAAATGACGTATGGTGTATCCATCTATTCTTAATTATCGATTGAGCATTCCCACCAAACTTACGATCACCAAAAACATAATCTGTAAATCCGAAATACAAGAAACCTGAAACCATTAAACCTTTTCTTTGTAACTAACTAGACATCTGAAATAACTTCACATACCGTTCTCACGTAGCTGGAAACCATTAATACCCTTAAACACTTCACCATACAACGAACCGCTCCACGCCATGACAGAACGAGGATAAGGCTGGACATTTGGAACATCATCCTTGTTACAAATCAAACTCACAAACAAAGTACTCTTATCCACAATCACAGTCCCTCCTCCCGTAAATCTTTTAATCACCGGTATTCGATCTTCCATAACTGGTCTAACCTCAAGAAGCTGAGAAGGCTTCCTATAAACAACATGCTCAAAGTTAACATTTTTCGCAACGATTTCGAATATAATCGAATAAAGATGGAATCATCATTACCCTGACATTCCCATGACAATGGTAGGAACATTGGTTCCATCATTAACAATGCACCAATTATCAGAAGATGTTCTAAGAAGTCTTTCTTCTAAATGAAGTTGCTCCAGAATTGGTGTTCCTTTAAGTCTAATCAGATTCATCAATGGAAGCCTCAAATCTTTGACTCTACTTACACTCATCTTTACCTGAGAAGCTTCTACGATACAAGAACCATAAATCAAAACAGAGAATTTTCAAATCTCTTGCCTTAGAGGCCAAACAAAGTCTATCTATCACAGAGTATAGAGAAGTTCTTCAAAAACCCACAAAGACCCAGGACACTAAACACAGACAAATCTCGAAAGTTCGAACCTTTGGTCGGATTTGATTTTAAGGAAGATCAAGAAAGGTGTCTGATTTCGATTGAGGGTTATCAACTATCGATTCCAATAAGAAGAGAAGCTTACCTGAAATCGGATTCCGGTGACGGTACGATCTCCGGGAGAATTCTGTGTACAGCTGCGAAGCCTCTAGCTTGACCAGAAGCTTTATCGGTCTCTTTATATTGAAAAACCCTTATGCGCGCAAGGTGTTCGATATAATGTCGCAAAGAGATGTGTTTTATAAAGTTCGATAATTACGAATTATTTACGTTCTGGATTTATGAAAAGATTCATACCCAGTTTAGGAATCAAGCAACTATGGCTAGAGAATTAATTATCTGATAATTTCTTCGTGTAAAACACACGAAAACACTTTGTGCATGGAAAGTGTTCGATCAAATGCCGCAAAGAGATGTGGTTTTCGAACAAACATGTTTAACATACACAATCTCCACAATCACAAGAAGAAGAAGAATAAAGGAATAGATGTCATTAAAAGAATCATGATTCAACAAAAACTATTCTCCATGAATTTCACAAACTCGTTAAAATCGATTTTTCCGTCTTTGTTTCCATCGAATGACCTAATCATTACCAAGCAATTGTCTAAGTAAGCTCCTTCTTTAAAACCTAAGATTGTCAAAACTTTTTGTAACTCTATAGCATCAATGAAACCATCTCTGTTTTCATCAAACACATCGAAAGCTAGCTTCACTTCTTCCAAACTCGCTTCTTTCTCTTCGAACAAACTCGAAACTTCTTTCGCAGTGTACCGTTCTTGAAGCTGATCATCGCTTTCTTGGTCGGAAAAAAGTCTTAAACTTCTCATAACCATCTTTGCGTCTTCTCTAGAAAGATCATCATGTTGTTCTTCTTGTTCTATGTGTTTGATCAAACTCTCTTGTTGATCTTTGTTGTTCTTTTTGTCGAAAACACGTTGATGATGTTGAAGAAGAGGTACGAATCTTGATAAAAAGATGCGAGTAGAAGAAACCCATCTGCAAAAACTTATGAGGAACAAGTTGAACAGAGCAAACAAAGGAAGAGAAGAAGAAGATTTCGACTCCATGTTTATGTTTTTTTATGAAAGATATTAGAATCTGTATGTGTTTGTTGATATATACAAGATTTGAGTTCTTCAAGTGTTGGTGCAAGGAAAGTGGTGAGGCAAGTAAGAGACAAAAGACAAAGTCCGTGTTTGAAAAGAAATTGGAAATAGGAAGTTTCTTCTTAACATTGTTGGAATTGTTAGGTGGTTTTTGGTCTTATTTGGAGGGAGGAAAGTTTGGTCGGTTGGATTGTTTATTTAACAATCATTAACTAAGATATTTTTGTATGTTTTCATTGGTTGGGGTTTATGATTGTGTTAAGTAAGTTATCTAGACTTTTTATATTTAGAATTCAAATATCTTAGTATTTATTAAATGGAAAACTTGAGAGACCAAGACTTTGAATGTACTGAAGACTTTTTGACTCTTTTTTTTTCGCTTAATTTTACATTAATTTCAATCCTAAATTGACTGGGAATATGAACGTAATTAGATGGTAACCGGGTTAATTCATTTCTTCTATTTAAAAAAATTTATTATATAAAACTTGGTTTATAAAGTCAATAATTGACATGATCGTGATATTTGTCAATTACATGACCGTGACATGTGTCAAATTTATCGATTAAGTGATTATACATATCAATTTTTTTTAAAAAAATTTCTTAAAAAATAGGAAAACTAATTAACAAATATATTTACATATAATAATTTACATGTCTATATTTTAAAATTTTATTTAACTTTTATTTTCCTTAACCAAAAAGAAAAACTAACAAAAAAGAAAAAAAAGTTAAATGGTGAAAAAATACAAAACAAATAATAAGTAATGAGTTTATCAGAATGAATTTACGTGTTTATATTCCTAAAATGAAAATACAAAAAAATTTGAATACAAAAGTAATGAGCTTATCAGAATGAAGTTTTGAATACTTTGTGAGAATATTCATATAGTTATATTTATGTTTGAAGAATTTTAACGCATGTTACTATAAGCACAAGTACCAAATACTTGGAAACAAAATGAGCTTACATGAATGATTTTCCATTACTTGATTAAAATGTTAGTATATTTTTATTTATGTTTTATTTTAACTCATTTAAACTTAGCCTGACAACCGTTATATGTTTTATTCTATTTCTTGTAATTGTTAATTGCAGTCCCGGCTCAAATTTTTAAAAGGTCCAGAGCTAGAAAAAAGTTGGTCTTAATATTACTACATATTTTTTAAAAAATAAAAATTTGGGTCTTTTTGACTAACGAAAAAACCCAAAAAATCTGATGGACCCTGTGCTACTGCACCAGTTGCACATGCAAATAACCGGGCCTGGTTAATTGTTATGCGTTTGAGATTAGGATATATGATTCTATGTTATGCGGTGCTTGTTAAACTATTTTAGATTGTTATTATCGTGTTTCATGTGGGCAGGCGGGATCGCCCTCATTGAGTAATTCTTTACTCATCTCTTTTTGTTTTTGAGGATATTATTCTTTAAAGTTATGGTTCAAGATTTGCTAATCGTTGGTAAATTTTTTAAAAAGCGTTTTTAGCCAACTCGGATGAATAACACGTTGTTTGGCTTGTATGGCAAGACGGGTGTTACAGTGCCTTTGTGCCATGATTTTTTGCAAAAAAATGAACTCAAGTAAAGAGGCATCTTCATTTTAAGTATAAGATGTTGTTACACTTCAAACCAATCTTTGCACTCTCTAGAGACAGATGAAATTATTTAAATGTGAATAGTAAGCTTATAGTTTAAGCATATCAAGTGCTTAGATCTAGGCTTATTATTTCAGTTGGTTTGTGAATTACGATCTCCGAGTCACTTGGTGGGAGAATGTGAGATGTTGATATGGACACCATTGGGGAAACAAACAAGTGGTTTACGAGTGACCTCGCAATCATGGGCCATCGAGAAATCGTAGTTGGCGACAAGATGATGAAGGAAGATTGCAAGCTGAAGCTTTGCAAACTCTGCCCCAGCACATGATCTCAATCCACTTCCAAACACCATGAATGTCTTAGAACTATTGACCAACTCTTTCCCCTATTTCACATTTTCATCAAAAAAAAGAAAAGTTCTTTGTATGCTACTTTTTATTAGACATAGAAAATCCTTTAAATAAACTAGAATCAATATATACCTCCCATCTCCATGGATTAAATTCCAAAGGGTTCTCATATATTGCAGGATCATAATGAATCACTGAAGGTGCAACTGCCACAATCCAACCCGCTGGAATCGTATATCCTGTTACCATTTTTACAACACAAAATGTTCAAATTAGAGAAATATTTGGAAATTACTTTTGAAGAAGTTCCCATATTTCAATAGTACTACTTGCCTTTGATTTCCACATCATTCACAGCCTTTCTATATATCATGTGAGACAAATTTGCTAGTCGAAGACTCTCATTAATCACCTGCACGACATCATATGTTTCGTTTTTAAATTTCCTTATACTATACTTCTTGAAGTTACTTATAGATATCTAAAAGTTACCATGTTGGTGAAAGGTATTTTGTGTTTGTATTCTTCCCAGCTAATTCCAAATTCTTTATCTTCTCTGTTTTGAATAATAGCCTCATGTTCTCTCTGCCACATTAGAAGCATAACAAGTCAAAGTTATGCTTGTTTTGTCTTTTTTTATATGAGAGGAAAGTTGTAACGATATATTACCTTCAACTTTGACAAAACTTTAGGGTTTTCAGCAATAAATTTTACGGCCAAGCAAGTGACCGTAGAAGTAGTATCTTTAGCTACGAAAGGAAGAGTAAGGATATAGTCCATTGCTGATTTCGCGTTAAATAAGGTGTCTTCTAGAATCATGCTGAGGAAGTCTCCATGATTCTCTCCTGATTCTTTCCTTGTTAAGTAAACATCACTTATCACCTGTAATCCGGCTTTGCGTGCCTATATACAATTGATAAAGAAAATTTATAGTAACAAATGTCATTCTGCACTATAAAGAGGTGATGAAAATCATTTTGATTTGGAGATACATGTATGTTCGGGTTATTAAGAATTTGCATATTTCAATGTACTAACCCGCAAAACACCGCAATCAAAAAACAATAGCCGTAAAATTGTTTGTGTTTAAAGATACAATTTGTAACATTGCGTAAAATTTCTTATATTATAAATTTCTAGATATATCTAGAATATAATCAAATTACAAGTGGGAAACAAATAATTAATAATAATTAGTAATCTGGATATAATATCTTCTTTATTTAGTATTAGATTAGGATCCCTCGGATAGACGTTTAAAAACCATATTTTATATAATAAGATAATTAGATTTGATGCTGATTTTTCAATTAATTATGTCTATTTATAATTACAATTATACCCTTAGTAAAATTATTTAGAAAAGGTATTATCATCCAATGAATATCGTAAATTTAAATAATTCTCAGTTAAATAGTACTAGATCATGACCCGCACGTACGTGCGGGGTTTCATATTTTTTAAAAAGTTCTAACAAATTTTAATTCAATATAGATTATTTCGTTGTTTCTATGATATATATTTTAGTGTATTAGATTTGGATTCACACGTACGTGTAGAGATATTTTATAGAAATTGTTATATAGATTTTAAAAATATAAAATATTTTGTTGTGTTAGTGAACTTTATAATAGTATAAATATTATAAAATTAGAGTAATAAACGAAATTCAGTTGCGTTAGTGCATAGTTATATTTTAAGATCCGGACCTACACGTACGTGCGAAATTATATTTAAGATAAAACGAAGATATAATTTAGTTGCAAAAGTTAAATGATGTTACTTATTTTATTTTCTAAATTAATCAAAACATTTCTAATAGTTTGATTACATGTGTTAAATAGGATATAGATTCGGTTTGAGTTTGGTTATTTCATGTATATTAGTTAGGCGTAACTATTTTAGAATGGGAAACCTATCCCGTCCTATATCTGTCATAAATTCTTGGTCCCATAACCCGTCTCGTATACGTGAAATAAAAATATGACGGTCCAGTATCCGGCATAAATAGAAAATGTGTAACTAAAAACGTACGTACATGGTTATGTATGTAAACAAATTTATTTTATATAGTGCTCATAACCTGAACTCATACCAATTGGGTATATAGTTTGATTTATAATTTATGTTCCCCTCTCATCCCGTCTCGTAATTCCTATTCTCATTTCATTCCATTAAAATCATGTTCCAAATTCTTGTTTGCTTACTTTTAAATACCATACAATACATATTGTGAGTTTTGCAGATTAATATATATGCTGCTAAAGTTACAAATATATTTTAACAAATTTATTAATGTTTTTTTCCTTAGCTAAATTTTGCATATTCTTCTTTTTATTGTTAATCATAATTAATTTGATTTTTGGACTAAAACTAAAAATTTGAGATATCTCTAAAAGGGATATGCTATTGCTGCATAATTTGTTTTTAATTCAAAATATATAATTAGTTTACATTATTTGAAAACTGTGTGCAATATATTAGGGATTTATTTAAGGAAGATCCGGTTGAAAAACAAAAAATAAAACGCAAAATAATTTAGAAATTAATATATACAATCTATTGTTAGATATTTATCAAACTTGCTCTAAACGAAGGCTATAATGATAATTACTTTAAATTTATTATTATTTGAGTTTATTTCATCATAAATATAAATAGTTGTTTATACCTAATATCGTATTTTAGAAATTCTGCAATAAAATTTTGTTTTATATTTTAAAATTTGTGAAAATATTATAACAAAACTGAATCTTAAAATATTTGTATTTAATTTTCTTACGAAATTTTAAATTTAATCTTAAAGTCTTCCATTGATAAATCTTTTAAACGATAGTGTTTTTAATTTTGAATTAAAATGATATTATTTTTCTTTTTATTTTTGATATAGAATAGTCTATTACGATTGGTTTAGATAAAATCTTAGTTGGATATCAAATCTTAGTTTTTCAATTCTTATTGGTTAAAATTTTTTTAAAAATTAATTTCAAATTTTCGTTTATAATTAATAAGAGAGAGAAAATTAGTTTATTTTTTTTGAAATTAATAATTATTTAAAAGAATTAAACTATTTTTATTTAAATATATTAATTTTGTGATTACTATTGTACCCTTAATGAAGTTATTTAAAAACACTAAAAACCAATGGCATTTTTTGTAATATTTTACTCTTCATAAGGTTATTTAATATTTAGTGATTCCCAATTAATAATATAGATTCTTTAAGATTTTTATAGATAAGGAAATCAAATATTATAATTTAATGCTAATATAACAAATTTGAGCTAATTTCCGAAAATATCTCTATCTAATTTAAAAATAAATATATGATTTCATTTTACTTTTATTTGATCTTATATTTATATTATTTTAAACTATTATAAAATATATATAGTTATTAAATTTTAGTTTTTTTTTCTGCACATGTTATGATTCAAATTTTTTAAAACGGACATATATTACTCAATCGATGAAGAAAAAAATATGTGTGTAATCTATATTAACATTTTTGAAGAATAAATTGTGCATTTAATCATGTTTTTTTTTCTGACCCAAAATTGAGTCATTCGGATTTTTCTTTAATTTCTACAATTATCTAAAACGGGACAATATACCAAGGGTGAAATCCTAAAATTAACAAATCAAAATACAATTATTTATTATTTTAAGATACAATTATAAATTGCTTTTACGGGTTGGTCTAAAAACACACACTAATTTAAAAATATATATAGTATGGATCCATTTGAAAGCAAACTTTTAAATTGACTCGAATTATATGTCTTTTAAAAAAAATGTTATTAAAAAAAATAAAAAAATGATATTTAATTTCACAGGACGGGATTATATGGTGGTATGGGTTTGGGTCGATATTAATATTGGACAATATACCACGGGTGAAATCCTAGAATTAACAAATCAAAATACAATTATAGAATCTTAAACACTAAACAAAACAAATACAACTTAAAATTTTCATTTTTTAGTTACAACGCATGTGATCCGCGGTGTACAACAACAAATATTATACACAACAAATTCATCAGTTTATAAAATGAAAAAAAAATCAAATAATTAACCCGCGGTGTACCGCGGGTCATATCCTAGTATATATATATATTTTGAATATATTTGATTTTTTTCTTTTGTTTTTTAAATTCAATAATTCTAATGGCATTCATTGTAATAAATCTACCAAAATAAGGTTTGTTAGTTTTGAGTGCTTCCCAATTAATAGTATAGATTTAGTTTCTGTATTGGAATATGCTCCTGAGATTCCGTGTATAATATTAAGAGAATGTCTATATTAATAAATGTAGATACGAACATTTGTTTGGAAAATATAGATTTACTTTGTTGATGATTTGATAATCCTTGATATCAGGATGTAGATTATACTACTATTAAATCGATATGAACAAATAAAGAAATTAGTTAGTACGACTTTGAAAAAATGAGTTTAAAGCTATTTATTAAGGATTTTAAATACAATTAGTGATATATATATATATATATATATATATATATATATATATATTAGATAATTTATAAGAAATGATTGAAATTAAGATTTTCGAGTATACAAACCTTGAATTACGTGGTTAACTTTTATAGTTAATAATATAAATTTTTTAGGAAATATTCAATTTGTTTTTTATGCCTAAGATTTTAGTAGTTTTAGTAAGTGCTTAATATATGAGATCTGATTTAAAATTCGAATTAATCTTTAAATTGTCGAGTAGTTATGGAAATGACAAATAATTAGGATAATATATTTGATTCTGATTTCCTTATTATCTATGTTTTAATTGATTAATTATTTATTTATTTTATACAGTAATTGATAACTAACATTTTTGGTTTTAGTGATTAATTGTTAATGAATTTTATTGTTTAATCTTCAAATCCAAAAATCATAATGGCAGTTTACGTAATATTCTACCCTTTATAAGGTTGTTTATTTAATTTTTAGTGATTCCCAATTAATAGTATAGATAGATGACTATAAATAGTAAAGAAAATAAATACTAACCGCAACAAGTCTGTAGAACGACCTCCAAGTCGAAAGAGTAAAGAATGACTGAAACCATTCAAGATTAAAACCCTTTAAACTGTCTATGAGATTTTTCTTAGTCTCTGGTCTGAGGTTAGTAATCATCTTCTCGGTGATGTTTGTTACTATCAACTGCAAAAGTAGCACATAAAATTATTATTAACTAATTTTTCATAGGTTAAACAAAAAAAAAAAAGAAAAACCTAATTTTCATAGATTAACACATAATTTATATGCACATACATTTTCAACGGCTTCCTTAAGATTGAATTTCCCCTGGCTAGCCTTTGATCTAAGATCTTCGCGGGTTGCTCTATTCAGGTCTCCTATCATCGTTCGCTTCAAACCGTCTGAACCAAAAAATTGTAGAGTTATTTGTTTAAAATGCTTGTGGATGTTCCCTTGTTCAGTTAATGGGTTATCTTTTCCAATAAGCGTCGTAAATTTCCCAGGATAGCCAGTTACGAAAGACTTGTTCTCTTGCCGACAAACCTCGTATATCACATCGGGGTCCGTCGTAACCACGGTGTTGGATCCAAAAATGTTTGTTCGAAACAGTGGCCCGTATCTAAAATGTTCACACAAACACAAACAGTTAAATATATATTTACCAATAGACAAGGTTTAATATGAAAATCTGACCTTAACATCCTCTTCTTGATAAAGGGTGAGATCTCGTAGAATCCATAAGGTTTAAAGAATTGGATTGTCTCTCCGATGATCGGAAAACCCATTGATCCCGGAGGTAACTTGCCATTGCACTTAGGATTTGACCATCGGTACCACCATTTGCTTATCACTACAACAACTAAAGCTGTAACACATATGGAAACGTTCCAAACAAAGCTCATTTTGATGTGTTTTTCAAGTTTAAGAGACACAACTTCAGATCTGTTGCGAGTCTTCTTATATAGAGGAGAAGGAATCCTACGAGGCTACAACCAAAATAGATCATAAAATAAAGAAAAATGATTGCCTTATAATTATATATATTTTTTTGATTAATTCATTAATAAACACATGTAAGATACATAATTTAACAAAGGATATATTTTGCTTTTATGTTTGGTTTATCGGGTCAGATATATTCTGAATCCACTTAGATCTAACCCGATGGTACACAAGTCAGTGATCAAATTAATGGTTATGGTGTTGATCACATAATCTATATTTGCTAGCGGTGTAATTTATGTTTGTTGGTACATGTCATCACGTAAGTTAATTTATTTTGGTGCATATATTCAAAGCTTAATTTTGTCTTGAAATCCAGTGCAGAAGTATATAAGGTGTAGCTGACAATCATTTTCCTATAAAATAAGTGTTCTAAAAAGCAGTTTAGATGATGTCGTAAATTTCAATTAAGCTCTAGACGTTCAGGTGAAGTCTAGACGATTACCTAAATTTAAGTAAAATTTTGATTATGTTTAAATTTTTTGTTTATATGTAGAAACAAAATTCTGACTCAAAAATATTTGACTAAATTTTTGGTTTGTTTTATATGAAGAAACTAACCTTTGACTAAATTTTTTTTATTAATTTATTAATTATGTGACATGTGATATTTCATAAAGTATATGTAGAAACTAACCTTTGACTCAAAAAAAAATAAGAAAATAGCCATGAGCTACATGAACATGTTAGAGAGGTAGAGAAAATAACAACTTTAACCTTCACTCACACTTTCTCCATTTCGTTCATCTCTCCTGAAATAATTTTTCGTCGGATCGTTGATAACCTTCAACACTAACATAAACTCTAGTCTACCTATCACCACCACCAACAAATTCTTCATCTCTCGCAAATCTCTTCGGTTTTCATGTTGTACAGCTGGACACATTCAAGAGCAATTATTACATGAATTAGCAAATTAATGTAAATGTCATAACGTCTTTGTTTGAATTTTTTTGAACCTTTTTTGGGCCTTTGAATGTTCGGCCCATGGCTTCTTCCGAAATCTCCTTCACCTCGGCTCCCCCCCCGACCTCTTTAGTTCGCTTGACTTCGATAGGAGACTTCAGCTCGAGGTCACGCTTTATTGACTTCCGTTTGGTTGACCGTTGATCCACGTGGCAATCTTTGTATGGATCCGAACAAGGAGTTCAGAATATGAGACCAACACAAACCTACCAAAACAATTGTCCTTTCAGTCACCCACCAAATCTTCATCATCTCCAGATTTCAGTTATTCTTGGAAACTCCATCAAATTTCATGTATTGTTTTTTCAATGTTCGTTATTTTCTTTTGTAACACGCTAAATTCTCGTATTATACGTTATTCAATACGAAAACATCCAAAAGCATGATTTTAATTCTTTTTTTTTTTTTTTTTTTTTTTGTCGGCCAACCTTTCATTAATATAAGAAACTTAGTACTGCATACAACTTAGTACTCCCAAGAGATAGTAAAAGGGAGATTTTGGCTTCTAGCTGATTTAGCTAGAAGATCAGCTGCACTGTTATCATTTCTACAAATAAACTTGAAAGCAAAATAGTTCAGAGATAAAGCTGTAATGTCATCCAGATATGATTGAATTTCCAAGCAACCAGGGACAGAATGTGGCATCTTCTTTATCTTTTCCAGATGGCGATAGAGGAGCATTGAATCATCACAGAAGGTAACATCCACGTAATTAAGACGTCTGAGATGAAAAAGTGCTTCTTTAAGAGCCAAGGCCTCAACTTCCAGAGCAGTAGCAACTGGAGCAACAGAGGAGAATCCTCTAAGAACACGACGGCCCTGTGGGTTATATAGAATCCACCCAATACCTGCCCGTGACTGTGAATCAAGCCAGGAAGCATCTACACAACAAACAAAGGAAGAAGTATGGTGCATTATTTCTTGGAGAGTAGTAGTCTTTGACTTTCCATGTTTCAGGAGAGATATATTAGGAGTAGCTTGGGAATCTGTCCATAATTTAAAATCCATCATGGCATTATGAATAATCTCAGGGATAGCCCATCTTTTGTTGTTAAAAAATAACTCATTTCGAGCTTTCCATAATCTCCAGCCAATAAATGGAAAAAGATACTCCTTAGACATAGCTTGGGTTACTAAACGTGAAGAGATATTGCATTATATCATCAAGCAAATCTCTACTCTCCAACTGACCTGGCTCAATATGTAGTGGTGACAATTCCCACACTTCTTTTGCAAAACGGCAGTGAAAGAGAAGGTGGAGGATTGATTCTTGTGCATCACCACAGAAAATATAATCTGGTATGACTTTGAGTCTCCTGCGAGCAAGGTTATTAGCTACTGGAAGAGCATTATGCATAACTCTCCACCAAAAATGTTTGATTTTTGGTGGGATATTTAATTTCCAAAGCTGCTTCCACAGGGCAGTCATTGTAGCATTAGGCAAGAAATACTCTGTACCTGGCTTAGTTAATTGATGATAACCAGATTTAACAATGTATTGGCCATCCTTAGTAAAGATCCATGTTGGAACATCAGGTGCTTTGAATAGCCTTAAGCGAGTACTCTTAATAAGTGGGATATCTTCAGGGTGCACTCGGTCATGAAGCTTGGTATCATCCCATTCATTTAAAGTAGACTTCATGAGATCTGAAACTAGTGAAAGATCAGTGGTAGAAGAAGGTAAACAACGAGCAGGTCTAGGAGGATTACTAAGCCATGGATCATGCCAGGCCTTAATCGTATTTCCATCTCCTACACTCCATTTTAAACCCTGCTTAATAAGCTGCATACCCTGCAAAATGCTTCTCCATGCATGGCTTGGACGATATCCAGGCTTTGCCTCCATTAAAGAGGATTTGGAGAAGTACTTAGCTCTTAGGACTCGGGCAAGCAGAGATTGTGGTTCCTTTAACAGCCTCCAACCTTGTTTAGCCAACAACGCTATGTTGAAGAGGTTTAAGTCCCTGAACCCCATTCCCCCATACTGCTTCAAAGTAGTCATTTTGCGCCAAGCAATCCATGGAATCTTTTGCTTTTCCTTGATAGTGGACCACCAGAATCGTCTTATATGTCCTATAATTTGAGAGAGGAGCTTCTTAGGCAACATAAAACAGGACATAGTATATGTTGGGAGAGCAGTAGAAATAGACTTTATCAACACTTCTTTCCCAGCCAATGATAAAAAATTTGAATACTAACTTTGAAGCTTTTGCTGAACTCTCTGAGCAATGAAACCAAAAGTATCACATTTATTATGTCCTACTGCCTCAGGCAACTCCAAGTACTTGCCAAAACTTCCTGTTTTTGAGATACCTGTAGCAGTGGTAATGTGTTGCTGAGTTTCAAGAGTGACAGTCTTCCCAAACAGTATTGCAGACTTTTGAAAGTTGACATATTGACCTGAAGCTTTCGCGTAAGCATTGAGTATGGAAAGCAGTTGTTGGCATTCCTCAGCATTAGCTTGACAGAAAAGTAATGAGTCGTCAGCAAAAAGCATATGAGAAATGGCTGGTGTGGACGTCGGATTCACACACTTGAATATTTGTTTGTTTAGTGGGAATGATTATTCTTGAGGACAAAAATACGATACTCAAAAGCTATGAATTGAAATGGAAAATGATTATAGTGTATTTGCTAGAAAAATTGCCTCCCCTCTACATGGCTATTAGCCCTCTTATTTATATTGACAAACGACATTTAACTCTCAATTAAACACAATTATTCTCTCTTAAATGTGTCCGTTTTGGTCTTCGAGTTTAATGCTCAACGTTTGAATTTGAATTGATTCCGATCTTCATGGGCTTCGCCTTTTGGCCCAAATTACTTTAAACCATCCTGACTTTGATTCCGGGTCATATCCCGAAATGGGACCACTTCGAGCTCCCTTCGTGATGATGCCCACTTCGACTATATCATGTACACCTTGGGTTTAATGGGCCTTATTCTTTGCGGGCCTTCATCCTTTGCGGGCCTTCATCCTTTGCGGGCCTTCATCCTGACTACGTGGCGATCTTTGGTTGGTCCCGGTCTACTGGTGCGGGATCCGACACCAACAATTAGCCCCCCCAAGTCTTTCGAAGTGCTTATTCCAATTCGGGAGACTTAAACGTTTTAATGACCAAAGATCGCGCCTATGGGATCTTCTGATTTTCCCGCCAAGATCTCGTCAGTCCTTTAATTTCGGCATTACCCATATTTGATCGCGTGACATCTGTCACCATCATAACCGTATCTTAATTATTTACTATTAAAACGGGGAAAACCTTTCCACTTCCCCCACGACTCCCAAGGCGGTTCCATCATTGCCACTTAGTTTGCGTGAGGTAACCTTCTTTTTATTTTTATCTTTTAGTAAAAAATTTCTTTGCTTTTTTCTGCCAAGTCTCTCTGTCTCTTTCGCCAAACTTTCTCTTCCGGAACTCGAATTTTCCATTTCCTTCGATGTCTTCCGATTCCGACAGACCTGAGTCTCCGTCTTATGACGAGAAACGTTCTAGCCTCGATGACTGCACCCGTCCTAACGATATCGCCGGTCCTCACTACAGATCTACTTGTACCATTCAATCCCTTCAACGATTGAAAGAACTCTGCCGACTTCCACCTGACGTGATGGCGGGATCGAAGTTGGCCGATCCTACGGAGTCCCCGGAGGATCACCGTGATGGTTATTTCTGTGTATATGAGGTTTACTTCAAGGGTTGTGGGCTAACATTCCCTCTCCCTGAAGCCTTAGTCCGATACCTGGCGGCTCTTGAAATCGCTTTACCTCAGCTAACCCCCAATCTCCTCCGAACCATCCTCGGGATCATAACCGTTGCAGCGGAAGCTGGGTATATTATCGGAGTCCCCGAGTTGAACGAACTTCTAAGCGTGAGAAGTTCATCGAAGAAAGCGGGGTACTTTTCAGCGTATCTGAACGCCAACAGGAACATCATCTCGCATCTCCCGAACAAGGATGAAAACTGGCACCATCCTTGGTTCCTGATTAAGAAAACTCCTGCTTCGATCGGAAGTCTTTCTGATGTACTTCCATCGAAGTGGTCTGCAAAGCCTGGTAGAAATTAGGTCACAGACACTTTCTCAATCACCCTATTATTTTGCTAATCAAATTTGTTGTTTCATTTTTGCAGCCTTTATTGCTCCAACTCTCCCAACTGAGGAATTCGTCAATTTCTTCAAGATAATCCTTAGAGGGGAAACCCTTTGGAATTCTTTCACTCTCGATCGGTTCATTGAAGCCAATCGAAAACTCAGGATGAGTCCGCCCAATCAACTTCATCGTCTTCCGCCTCCTCCTTCAACTCAGGGAATGTCAGCTCGGGCCCTCACTGCCCAGCGTAAGAAGCTCTCCAAGCCGATAACAGAGGCTTGTGACAAAAACAAGGCGCTCCTTGCGGCCGCCATTGACAAGAAAGACTACAGCAGGACCTTACTGGTTGATGACAACAGCTCCGAGGGGGCTAGATCTGTCGTTGCTTATAGATTAACACCTCGTCGTGAACGCCGTAATGATCGTTCTCCTCGGAGAGACAGATCTTCTCGTGGTGACTCTCCTCGACCTCCCCGAGATGACTTTAGCAGCGCACCGCTTAAGGATTTGATTCGCAAGAAGAGAGACAAGTCATCTCGCAGCGATTCCTCTCCGCATAGGGAGAAATCGAGGGCCCGGACTGACCGTTCACTTCGATCGTCCCCTCCATCTAAAACAATGGGCCCTCCTGCTCCTGTTGACATGTCTTCCTTTCCCAAACATGATGGCGAGAAGACCACTCGGAGCGTATCTCCTCAGAAGGAAAGTTCTGGATCTCAAGATGCTTCCCCGAAGTCAAAACCTGCTCTTGTCCCCCAGATCAAATCACTTACAGGTAACGATTTACGCACTCTTAAGGGTTTTCACTCCATCCTGATTCAAAATATTACAATTCCCCTTCTTCTTCCTTCACAGCTATGGAGAAAGAAGGTAGCGTCTTTCGATGCTTTAAGACCCGGTCGGGTCTAATCCTGCCAGAATTCGACAAGTGGCGTCCTGCAATTCGCGAACGCTATTTGCTTCATGCGCACCACTCATCTCGGGTTAGTTTTACTTTTTTTTTATGTTACCCTTCCAACTGATTCATCATCTCGAGTTTATACAAAATGCCAGGCAAACAGCGAGCTCAACGACATGGTTGAGCACTACGAAGGATTGCTGCTTAGCCAGCAACAGGAGATTGACTCGTGGAGAAGCAAGCTTACAACTCTTGAAACCGACCTCCACTCATCTTCGGGCTCTAAGCAACAACTGGAGGATCAAGTAGGCGGCCTCAAATCTGAGCTTGAGAAGATAAAGGGGGAGCTGAAGGACCAGTACGACAAGAATTACCAGCTACAGAACGAGCTCTCTGGCGTTCAGGGTAGACTTCATGAATCCGAGTCAGCTGCCGATACCCTGAATAACCAATTCATTGAACTTCACGCGAAGTATAACGCGATTACCAAGTTGCGTGATTCCGAGTTGGCAAGGTCGGCGTCGAAGGCCAGAAAAGAGGTAAAGGGACGAGGGATGGAGTTGATTCAAGGGGCCATCCGCTTTATTCAAACTGAGAAGGTTAAGTCGGATCAGGAGTCAGACATCAAAGAGCACGAGAGCAACCTAATCTTGCTGGATCAAATCCACGAAGAAGATTTCTCCGAAGTGAATGAGAGATCCGAGCTGTCGTCTAACTTATCCGAGAAGAAAAATCGTCTGGCAGCTCTTCCCGCTTCGTCCTTCAACCCTCAGGATTTCGCGGAGTTTTTCACTGAATCTCCTCCCCTAAGTGAATCAGGTTTAGACTGGGCAGGTAAACGCTAGTTCTTGATGCTTACTACCTTCTTCTTGCCTTTTGTTTGACCCGAACTGTCTTTTATAGGTTCAAGTGGGACGGAGGGCGTCGTCTCATCCGAAGTCCCTGCTGCAC